GATAGATAGATAGATAGATAGATAGATAGATAGATAGATAGATAGATAGATAGATAGATAGATAGATAGATAGATAGATAGATAGATAGATAAAGAACAAAAAACCGTAATGCCACAAATATTGTGGGGTTGTTGTTTTTTTTCAAGTAAAAAAGTACTTGACCCATCTAACCTAGGCTGGCCCAAAAACGCCGAAGCTGTACTGGACAAGATGGCGAACGACGAGGACGTCAACGGGGCTCGCCTGTCTCTCATACGGCTTCAGGTTCGTATCCTAACTGGTAATAATACTAATAGTTGTATGTTTTTTTCGTCTATGCAGACGGTCAATTGGTGGCTTTAAAGGACTAGCGGGCTAACCCAGATTTCAAGGGTTTCCAGATATCATGACCTATACCAAAAGTGGGCATTGTCCTACCTATTGGAGAAGTTTGGTTTCATTGGTGTGTATATTTGTTTGGTTATAGAGAAAACTCTCCTTGTCTTTTAAAGAAACTGAACAAGTGGCAAAAAATTTACCTTCGATTTTCTCAAAACAGCATTTTTCGAGATAGCCGCCTTGTGCCTTAAAAGCGACCAATTTCGCTTAATATGGTCTCAATGTTGTCTTCACGCAGCTTCTTCCATGGTTAATTCTTCCTATGTTTGAAGCATAGATTCTGTTGCAGTGCTTGCATGTCAGTGTCGTAAATCGAAGCTCTGTATTTCCGCTATTTTCCTTTCGTCGTTGGCGCTTTTCAGCCGGGATGTTTCTGAGGCTGCTCTCTAGCAATAGTTCTTTCCTTTATCATTTTCCTCCATGTTTTCCTGTCCTCATTTATTTCTTCCCAGATGCTAACATCTACTCCCAGCTTAGATAAACTGTTTTTACAGGTGTCTTTGTACCTCAATTCTGGTCTTCCTATTGGTCTCTTTCCCTGGACAAGTTCTCCATAAACAAGTTGCTTCGGAACTCAGTTGTCGTCCATTCTCTTGGCATGGCCCAGCCATCCCAGTCTCTTTAAACACAGGATAGTTGTCATGCTCAGGAGATTTGCCCGTGCAAACACTTCACATTTGTAACCTTGTCACGCCACGAAATGCCTAAGATCTTGCGGCAGCATCTGAGATGGAAAATATCGAGCCGCTTTCCTAGCCTGCTCTAAAAGGTCCATGTTTCAGATCCATAAAAGAGTGTTCGGGGGACACTTGCTTCGTAAATCTTCCACTTTGTTTTGATAGTTAATCTTTTGTTTTCCCATGCTCATTTTGTCAACCTTCCAAAAGCTGTTGCTGCTTTCCCTATCCTGTTATTGATCTTATAATCAAGTGATGTAGTAAAGCTGATGGTAGACCTCAGGTAACAGAACTATTGTCTCAAGTTCCTTGTCGCTCAGCCATATATGGCTCTGCTCTGGATCTTCTTGGGGAAGGATGACTGTTCCAATCCCTTGCTCTGGGCGCTGATTAATGGGTGATACTAAAGATTGAATTTTATTTTAGAGAGGAGTGGGGTGGGTGGGGTGGGGGTAGGAGTATTTTAGATGTGTGTGT